GTGTCTATGGAAGCATGGATTATCTAGTCTAGATTGAATGATTATTCTCTGTACCCGTGTTCCTCCATGCATGGCGTACTATGGTAGTACTGAGTAGACTCTGAACTGCTGCACTGCAAAGGTGAATAGCCGCACAACAAACGCCCACCACCACCACCACCGCCACGACGTCGATCACGACCCTGACTCTATGGAATGCCAGTCCGACCACCTTCGATGCTACCTCGCTGTACCCGTATGACCGAATTCATTCTAACCAACAGACCTTTGCTAGAGCTAGAGCTGCAGCATAGCTTATCCGTTGGAAAGCACAAAAGAAAAAGAAATGCGACATGAACAGGAGAGCGGGAACAGGAACATGCGGAACTCTTGAGCCGGGGTGGTAGCAGTACCTGCCTCAACTTGCATGTCCCGAGTACGTACCTTGCTCTAGATTTCCACCTAAGGCAAGAGAAGAACGGGATGCAAGTGGGTCCATTTTCTGACGTACCTGGCTTGTATCGCCGGTCTGATTCGTCTTGTCATCCCGGCCCGCTCTTGCCGCAGAATTGCAGCTCACGAGACTTGGCAGCTACTTGTGCTGGGGTACTCTCAAGTCTGTCCGCGCCTTCCTTGCACTTGCATTAGAAAGCAAGCCACCTCCAGTTCCCCGTCGCACCGTCCACTGTCCAGTGACTCCGGTCGCCTTAGTACACAGGCATGAAGGCACGCCAATCCTCGTCTCCTCTGTGCAAAGCTACGAATGCCGTCTTCAGGCTTCACCACCTCTGATACCTCTTTCTCTTTGGTCAGATATTCAGTCCGCCATCATCTCAGACATTTCATCCGTCGCTCAACCAATCCAATGGCTCGTTGAAACTACTTCTTCTTCTTCTCGGAGCCGGACAGTTCCTCGGGACCCAGCCGAACGAACCATCTCATGAATGCCCTCTCTTTGACCCTCATCGAGGATCGACTTCGCCGCATCCCCCAGTGCTTCGCACGCGACCCTCACAACCCTCTCGACACTCATGTCATGCGCCTCAAGGCACCACAAATGCATCTATATATCGAATACCTACCTCTCAGCAGCCACAACGTAAGCTTTCTGGCTGAGTTCCCTAGGTGCTAGCAGCCACTCGAATAATCTCTAGTTGCCAGTCTGGACGTGCTTTCGAAGAAGACCTATGTCATGGTTTGACGCACACCCTTTCGCATGCACAATGTTGGGCCGGAGTGTCCCAGAAATGCAGGTTGCGAGCTGCAAACTGCCATGCCTCATAACTTCATGCACAAGGAGAGAAGCCAACGGTCACAGCAAACAAGCCGAAAGCCAATAGACTCTTGCAGATTCAGAGTACAATGGCACATGGCTGCGTCGATTCAACAACTCTCAACCTCGAACCGTCTGGTCTGCCGCCAAAACACCACCCCAATCCGCGTCGCCTGTCTCATCCTGCCCTCACCTGCGGATACCTACACCACCTTCAAAGACTTGTTCGATATGCTTCAAACTCAAAAGATTAACGGGCTCCGCCCACAATCAACATAGGACTGCGACAGATCCGCGGCCATCCCGTTCACACCATGGACCAATCAATGGCTCAGTTGCTGTTGGCTGTGCTGTCAAATAACACCTGGGCAGCGCATCAATCAAAGGCTCCAGTTGAGCCTTCAATTTGGCTGAGTATCCGTTCTCAGTATGGAGCGTCATCGTGGCATTCCACACAACAGACGGAAAGACAGAGCCACTTCGATCCTCCAGGCCCCTGCGTGACACCAGATCGCTGCCACAAAACCCCAATTGAGCCCCTACTCCGGAAACGCCTCGTGGACCGAGCTCTTCGTCTGCCTCCTTCTCGTGCGCGAACCCGCCGTCGCACCCGCAGCCGTAGCCAGCTCGCGCCTCGCCCTTCAGCAGGTCATCGCTACATGTTGCTTGCGGAAACACGTCCCCACTCGACGACGCCTCTTTCGTTGCTTCCATATCTAGCGGCTCGCCACGCAGCCACATCAAGTATTGGACCTTCCTCCATCTGCCATACGACGACATTCTATCCGCGAAGAGCTTTGGCCAATGCTTCCGCTTTCGATAGGTAACAATGTTTTCTCTGCAGTCAAGCCTTCTTCCAACGCATGGCACAACCATGATGCCAGCTTTTCGTTTCGAATAGCGGGGGTCCTGGCCGAACACGTCCGCTCTCGGGGAAAGCATGTCACCCCCTGATTCATGCAATTGCAACGCCGCCAGTCGAACACGACTCTGGCAGTCTCTCGTCTTGCCCCAGGGTCGCATTCTGCTAGACTTTTCCCCAACAATAATTCAGATCAGCATTGCAGGCTCCAGTGGGAAAATGAGCGCTGATTCTGCGGGCCGCTAAAGGGGACCTGCAGCATCGACGGAAGAGTCCCGCAGAAACGAATGCTCCAGTGGGCTGGGATCCTTCTTCATGATCCCGGGCCTCCTGGCGTGGCTCTTGCAAGGATGAGAGAAGCAGCTCGTTTTGTTCGACAGGGGGGCCGTTTGTGGATGGATTGCACAACTCGTGGCTTTTCTGACGGGGATCCTTGAACGTCGATGAGCCAGATCAACGCACGTTTCCTGAGCCGCACCTGCTTTGCCCAATATGTTCGAGAAGTAGCTGGCGCAACGCGAGCATGGACCTTACAAAGATCTTGGACCAAATGGACGGGACATCTTAGATTTTGCCTCTCGGAGACTTGACAGGAGCAAGAATGGACTCAGATGCGCTGCAAGAAGACTGCCGTCCGCGCCAGAGCCGCAGTCCAACGGAGGCTACACCAAGATCGAGTACTTCGCCGCCGGAAATTTTGTTGCAGCTTTCAAGGATTGCTTGGGCCCTAGGGCTAGGCTCTCTGCCTTGTAGAAGCAACGGCCAAGGCTTTACCAGAGCCAGCACAACTGGGCAAGTCCTTCAACAAAGATATCAGCCCATATTACTCTTGACATCGCCCGAGATGGTGCGGTCTCGACGTCTCAAGAAGCCCTGTTGACGAGAGCGCCATTCACCACGTGGCGACGAAGTCCCTGCCGGATGCGGGCGGTCAGAATGAATATGGCTGAACGAACAGGTCCCCGCCAGACCACCCCTCAGACGGTTATATCACGGTGTAAAGGGCAACAAAGACGACGGTAAAGCAAAGTAGTCGAATGAGCAGATGGCGTGTAGGATGGTGGAACTAATTTTCAGATCCGTCTAATGGCAAGCCGCGATCCGAAGGAGTGGTATGATGGACGACAGAAAACCGCTAGATGGGTTAGTCGCACAGGACAGGGCCCCGGAGGCAAGCAACAGGTACAACCAGACTCCACGAGAGGCAGAAGTGCCCGCAGATTGACCTCAAACACTTTGAAGTAAACTTTGGAATGGGAAGCTCTGTCACGCGCTGCACCGCATGGACTAGCATCCCGCACCAAACGTTTTGTTTCTCCCAATTGGGTTCAAGGTTTCTGCACCGGCGTCTGGCATGGCATTGCATCAGCCATAATGGGACTCGATTGGATATTACAGACACCGCTCTCGGTAGAGACGTTGCATGTTATGAAAGAGTTTTTTTTCCCTCATGTCTGGTCTCGGGACTGGCCCTGCCACAGGCGATTATGGTTCATGCAGCATCAAAGCAACATCGATGGGTTCAGGACTGCGATGGTAGACGATGTTTTGGTGTGTGATTGCTGATCATTGTGTTAACAGTGCCCATCGCTCTCACCCTCGTTCCTGGTGGGTAGGGGAAGCTGAGGGAGCTGAGGTGATGGAGGCTGAACATTGTGTTACACTTAAAATGCCAGACCTTCAAGCTGGCATTTATTTTCCGATAAGAAGGTTCTTTGATGATGGCGGCTGCGACAGGAGAGATGAGACGATATGGCCTGCAACACGCTGTATCACAGTTGCAAAGTTTCCTGCTTCTTTTCCAACACCCATACTCAACGACATGTACAGCGAGGGACAAAAAGAGGCACAGTCGCGATGCAGTTGGAGACAGTGGGCAGTGGGTTTCTATGTCTTGCATAACCGAAGGTTACTTACTAACTTTCGACCTCGGCACGTAGTGCGAGGCCGTCGCTCGATCGCGGCAGCTGGTGCAAACCACGGCGGCCGGCAGCATGAAAATAACCATGGCATTGGTGAGAAACGGGAAAGGCGTACTTTTGTATGGACTTAGGTGAGGATGGGCCCATGTCGGGCCTATATCTTTACATCGGCGAAGGGTTCATGGCTGGGCTCAGCCAATTCTTGCCCGGCACGCGCAGGTCTTGTCTCAGGCGGCAGGCAGGTTCTTCGGGTTGTGTCTCGCTACCGCTGAAGAATCGAACCGCTTAGTGAGCGTACTTGTCAATTAGCTCGCCAAACTGACCCAGCCTGCTGTGGATAACATCTGTGGGCGAGTTCCTCAGCCTCGACTACCAAAGTCCGAAGACTTGCTGTTTGACTTTGTCTGGGTAAGGTCCATCGCAACCTACTACCTCAGCACGGTCTCTAGGGCAGGCTGATGTATTGACTTCATAGGGTACGGATCCCTAGGTACGGATTACCTACACTATCTGCTTGACTACGGATACCCAGTTGCAAAAGGATAGTTCCGTTTCATCTCGTCTCGTCTATCAGTAGGCGGGCTGTCAAAGCCAAATAAGCTGTTACATCTGACGGGTGGTGGAGAGATGATCTTTACTGTCTTGATCCGGCGACAACCGGGCGAGACATGGACGCTGTTGATTCCCGGTGAGCAGGTGGAGCAGGGAGGCGAGGTCTGTGGGGGACTGTTCGGATTTGACATCCCGTTCAGTATCAAGAAAAGCAGCAAGCAGCAAGCGAGAGACGCAGAGGAAGGGACAAGAAGCCAAAAGGAAAAGAGGGACAAAACCAAAGAGGTTTGGGCTGTTGATCCTGGCTCGCCACGTTTTCTGCAAAGGCACGTCGCACGTCGCACGTCGTACGCCGTATATTCCTTCTCCGTGCCTGTAGTATGCGTACAGCAGCGGATAGCGGATAATTCCCTCAGGGCTTGTTGACTCTGGGAAGTGGCCCGCAAAGCCGATGACGAAGGTCGGAGTGAAGCTCTGGACAAGGCTCAGTCCGAGAGCCCAGAGGACTCAGACTCCCGGTTCCAAATTCACAAGCATGAAATCCTGGTTTGGCTTCGTGTCGTCGGTAGCACCGGCCGACAGGTGCTCCCTTCGCGATAAGCGTCGTTGTTGGTGTGCAACGGACCGACTGGGCAGGAAGAGTTGGGCCGGCATATGGGGTTGACAGGCTGCATTCGTGAGACAGCCCGCGAATGAAGGGATAGACGGTCTGGGAATCTCTGGGCTGTCAATCGTCCAGGTCGGATTGCTAATCGTTCAACCCAGAGCCATGGGAACATGGCATTTGTGTGCACCCGGATAATGGATCGATCCATGACTCTGGTTGGTATTATTACTGTTGACAATGTCGAATACGACGGACGTGCTCGGCCTGGCAGGGCAATTAAAGGCAAGGTCACGAATGTATTGTGCTGGTATTAAGACACTGATGTGGGCAGAGTCAGGAACCTGACTGACGCACTGACATGAACAGGATCGAAGTGCGTCTGGTGATGGTGAGAGAGATTGAGGAAATCTCGATGCTCCATTCAAAGTGCCATCTGGTGGGCTTTGGCCAACGAGCCAATAGGCCTCACCGTGAGTTGTCCGTGATGCACTGGAAAATTGGAGCCCCGAATTTTCAAAACGAGGCCACCCCCGGAGCCACAAAAATTTTCTTGCAGCGCCTTTTTTTTTTTTTTTTTTTTTTTTTTCGCTCGCCTTGCCCGCACCAACGCTTGTTGACGGCGGGGGAGCGCGCGCGCACCTTCCATGGGTACTGGTACAGATTCTCTCTCTGCAGGCCCAGCACACACCGCACATCGGCAGGCCAACCACACAACACCTCTTCTCTCCCACGACGTCAACGCACATTTTGATATCAGACAATCTCAACTTTTCCATCCTGGCTTTTCTTCGTCATATAACACCCCTCCCTTCTCAACTACTACGCCTGCACCAGCATCATCTATCTCGATTGCTTGTGCCTCTGCCGACCTGTCGATATCTACACAATCTACACAGTAGCCCTGCCAAACCCCCGTCTACCGTCAAAATGAGCGAAATTGCCCATCCTACCATCCAAGGTTCGTGCGGTCCAATCCCCGTCTTTCCATCCATCCATCCATCCCTCCCCTCCCTTACTCAAGCAGATCTCTGTCTGTTGTTGTGTGTTTGTCTGTTTGTCTGTCTGCCTTTCTGTCTGCGGCTGCCCGGCATCCGTCTGCTATCGTTGGCATTGGGTGTATGCTACTTATTACTCTGTCCTGCTGGTCGATGCTCATTACTGGCTCTTCCGACCTCTGTACGCACCCGTCTCAGAATACCCCGCCATACGAAAAATGTCTTGAGCACCCCGCCTGTCGTCACCCTGGGGGTTTCTTCGCTAAGAGCCCACGCAACGGAAGACGGAGAATATCGCAACCGGGAAGCGGGCCCCCATGAGCGGCCTTGTCTCGTTCGTCCGTACCGCCCTTCATTGGCTCAATTGGCAGACGGACTTTGTGCCGTGCGGACTGCCTGCACCTGGTCAATCGTCAACGAAACCTCCCGCAACTATTGACGGGTGGCTTATCCGTCCTCTTCCGGGTCCCCTAAAAACACCTTCAGCCCTGGCTCCTCCACCGTCTGAGCGCGCATGCGCTATTCTTCATGCCACTTTCGGTTAAGCAATTCGTCAGGAGAAACCGAGAAACCTCGTCTCTTGGTTTTGCAGATCGTTTATTGAATACGGCATACCTCTCTTGCTGAGGCGACATTTGTACATTGCAAATATGCCGGCTTATGGCTGCTCCGGGCACGGCACTTTTCGGGATCGGCAATGACACAGAACACACAGACAGACTGACTGACAAAAGTGGATGCGACAAGATGATGCCCTTTTTTGGAAACAAATGAGATGAACGAGTCGAGACCTCGCGCTAACCTGATGAAATGATGTACAGATGGCTGGTTCCGTGAGATCTCCAACATGTGGCCCGGTAAGTCACCCACACCCCCTCAACTCAAGCATCGTGAGGATGAGAGGACGCCGGGCATGCTGACAACCTGCCACAGGCCAGGCCATGACCCTCAAGGTCAAGAAGGTCATTCACCACGAGAAGTCCCAGTACCAGGATGTCCTCATCTTCGAGTCCACCGACTACGGCATGGTCCTGGTCCTGGACAACGTCATCCAGGCCACCGAGCGTGACGAGTTCTCCTACCAGGAGATGATTACCCACCTGGCCATGAACTCCCACCCCAACCCCAAGAAGGTCCTCGTCATCGGCGGCGGCGACGGCGGTGTCCTCCGCGAGGTCGTCAAGCACGAGTGCGTCGAGGAGGCCATCCTCTGCGACATTGACGAGGCCGTCATCCGCCTGTCCAAGCAGTACCTCCCCAACATGGCCGTCGGCTTCGACCACCCCAAGTCCAAGACCCACGTCGGCGACGGCTTCAAGTTCCTCGAGGAGTACAAGAACACCTTTGACGTTATCATCACCGACTCCTCCGACCCCGAGGGCCCCGCCGAGTCCCTCTTCCAGAAGCCCTACTTCCAGCTCCTCCACGACGCCCTGAGGGAGGGCGGTGTCATCACTACCCAAGGTTGTACGTTCCCATTTGTTCAGGAATATCGAGGGGAATCAAGGAAGTCTCGGGTCTCTGAAGAAAAGACAAGACAATACCGCAGACACCACTGCTACCTAGGAGTGATGCCTGCTTCTTTATCTTTCTTTGGGCCTGTCCTCGATTTTCCCTACGAGATACCGGTATATTGCCCAGTGGCATGCCGGTGAGACTGGGTTGTGTGAACCTGGATACGCTTTGAACTCTCCTTTGTCTATTCTTTCAAAGTGTTGCGCCTACTCGAGACTGTTATCCTCCTTCCTCCCCCTTTTCTGTCGGCGCTCATTCAGCCTGACTCTCTGTCGGAAGGCGCTTCTGATTCTTGATTCTTGACGACTCTACTGTTAAATCTAGAGACCAGGACTAGCTAACAGCATACACCAAACAGCCGAGAACCAGTGGCTCCACATGCCCCTCATCTCCAAGCTCAAGAAGGACTGCAAGGAGATCTTCCCCGTCGCCGAGTACGCCTACACCACCATCCCCACCTACCCCAGCGGCCAGATCGGCTTCATGGTCTGCACCAAGGACGCCGGCCGCAACGTCAAGGAGCCCCTCCGCAAGTGGTCCGCCGAGGAGGAGGAGAAGCTGTGCAAGTACTACAACGCCGACATCCACAAGGCCGCGTTCGTCCTGCCCAACTTTGCCAAGAAGGCTCTCGAGTAAATGCTGCATGCGTGTGAATATAACGCAAACCACGAAAAGACATGGATTCATGAACTCATGGGGGGGGGGGGGTGCGAGGGCTTGGGATGGAAAGGATGGGGAGAATGTTTGGCGGGAATGTCAATAGATGGGAACTTAAAAAAAAAGTTTTTAAAAAGTTTTTAGTCGTAAGACGCAGAGGTTGACTCTAGCGTTGCTCAATATATTTTGTTGAGTCCAATATGTTCTGCCCTGTGACCAACATCACAAGTGATTCTATGTTGAGATAACTCCGTGTCCCTTCCGTCGGGTGCCTGTTGTCGCCAACTCCGTGTAAATCTTTTTGCTCCTTTTCTCATCCAATGCCATGAGTAATCCGCATCTTCTCTTCCTCTCTCTCTCTCTCTCTCTCTCTCTCTCTCTCTCTCTCTCTCTCTCATCCGCAGACGATTTCCGTTCCTCTCTTTTGATCCCATGAGACTCCCGCCCCAACTCATCATTTCCCTTCTTTCACCCTCTTACCACCCTCTTCATTCTAATCACTTCATCCAATCTCCCCGTCTTCATCCTCATCTTCTTCTTCATCCTCATCCTTATCCTCATCTTCACCTCCCTCTTCACCCTGTATCTTCATCTCCACCCCTACCAATCACAACCCCCCGCAAGCAACCCAGCAAGCCTCTCCAACCAAACCCGATCAACCTCGTCGAACCCATCTCTCTCCGCACAGTCCACGTCAATAATCGCCACCAACTTGTCCTCGACGACGATCGGCACGACGACCTCGCTCCTGCTATCCCCATCACACGCAATGTGCCCCGGAAAGGCATCGACGTCGGCCACGAGCTGGGTCTGGCGCGTGGCGGCGGCGGCGCCGCAGACGCCGCGGCCAAAGGGGATTTGTTGGCAGGCGACTTTGCCCATGAAGGGGCCCAGGATGAGGGATCGTTTGGCGGATGAGGGTGAGGTCGAGGTGGAGGGGTCGAGGACGTAGAAACCTGCCCAGTTTACTGCGTTTGAGGGGGCGGGGAGGGAGTGGTATGCGTGCCAGAGGAGGGAGGCCGTGTTTGCGAGGTTGCTGTCGATGTAGGAATGTGAGGTTAGTCTCTTTTGGTTTTTCCTCACGCTTTGTATCACGTCCCAGAAATGAGGACGAGGATGGGAGAACGGCCTTGCTAGGGTCAAGTGTTTAGACTTACGCAACCTATGAGAAAGTTAGTCTGAGATTCCAGTCGAGTATGATGGTATTGCAATGTTTATGAGTTTGAAGAGATGAGGGATCAGATGGAGAGATTGAGAGAATATGTATGAGAGGTGCGGACTATGTGAATACGGGAGTCGAAATAAATAGGCTTACCCAGTTTCTTTGGCCGTCGAGGAGGCCTTCGGCTTGGATGAGGACCTGCTCATAGGCCTCCTCCTTCGTCACGCCATTGGCGAAGTTTGAGGCGTCGGCGTGGACCTGTCGTTTTCGCACTCGTCAGTATACACCGACAGAGTAAGGTAAGGTAGGGCTTAGAAGATTTTGGTAGTGCGCTCAAGGGATATGAGATGTGCTCACCATTATTGCCGGAAGATCTACAGTAATGAGTACAAATGAGAGTGCGGGGATAAGCCAAGCTCAAAGCTATCTTCCCTGGGTAAAGTAGGTAGGGAAGTCGAGGCTAGGTTGGTGAGTCAATATGACCAAGCATAGATGGGTTGTTGAGTTGAGACGGGAAATTGTGTGTTGAAATCCTCTGGTCCAATCACGTCATTTCCTTCTCGGTGAGCTACACCTCCACACCTCGGTGAGTCCAGTTTCCTCTCCCTTCGGACCCGAGTTTTTTTGGTCAGCAATCCAAAGAAAAAAAAAAAAAGTGTTACATTCCCGCCCCGGCCCTAAAGGTCTTTGATGGAGAAGACGGAGGAATCGAGGTGCCATCGGCCGGCTCTGAGTGGAGAAAGTCTGCCTTTCGCACTTGATGAGTTCCGAGAAATGGTCTTTTTCAGGTCCGATCCCGTTTTGTTGCTCTCCAATTGCTGGGACTCTATCCCGCTCAGAAACCGAGCGTGCCGACTCCCATGACGGCTACGAGAATGGAAGGGTAGCACAGCACCACGCTAATATGCTCGTGTATGGTGAGGAAGCTACGTGGTTGGCGCAGACCGGCTACGCGGGCGGGCGGCGGGATATCTAGGTATAGATCGATCGACATGCATGCGCGAGAGAAACGTGATGTTGAAGCGAGCCGAGGAGCAGCCATTCCCGATTGATGATTGTGATTTGTTCTCAGAGTACGAACGTCCCCTACAAGCCTAGTAGGCTGTAGTATCCAAGCTTGCTGAGGTAGGAATCTAGGTCGGGGGTCGGATTCGGATGAAACTCCGTCCATGATTTCATTCTCCGCCGACCCCGCGTGCCCGCTGGTGTGACAGCTCCCTTTTGCAAGCTCAGTTTAGTTGAGCTGAGGTTAGCTCTGCAGGAGCTTGAGGTGTTTTGGGACCTGAGGTAGTCTCTATAGAATATAGAGATAACGTCCTTCCCGCCTTGATCTCTACTCTTCCTTTCACTGTGTCAAACATTGCGGGCACCTTCGTTTTTCGTACATTCAGTCAACTTGCAATTGACCCTCCGGCCTACACTAGAAGCTGTCGCATCAAGGGAGAGCTCAAATCTACCCAAAGCTTAACTCACCCCGTCCATAAGGCAGGCAGCTTTCCCCCGAATGACCAAAAACCTGACCTTTTCACTCTCCACCAATTGAGCAACACATCCAACTTACTACACGGACACAATGTCGTCGGAACCGCGACAACACCAGGCCCCCCGCTTCTGCGCCGACTGCTTCAAGGGCACACTCCGCGGCGACACTGAGCTCAAGGGCACCGTGGAGACCGTCTACGGCCTGCCGACGTACGTCGCGCGCCCGGAGCCGGGCCGCGGCGAGCCCGCGGGCGTCGTCGTGATTTTGCCGGACGCAATGGGGTGGGAGCTGCAGAATACGCGCGCGCTGGCGGATGCGTATGCGAATAGGATCCCGGCGGTTGTGCTGCTTCCTGAGTTGATGAATGGTGAGTTTTTTTTGTTTTTTTTGTTTTTTTTTTTTTTCAAAGGAAAGGGGCATTCTTTCGTTGGTTTTGCTTTGTGGGACTGCCTTTGGCTTCTACGTTGTAATCGCTCGTCCTTGGCATGAATGTCTTGGTGATTGGTGTGGTGTCCCGGGCGAGCAGGCAGAGAAGGAAATGGGTGGGACATCGTGATGCTCAGGCCGCGATGTCGTGAACTCTCATGCGCCCCTCTATGTTACGAACCCACTGACACCACGTGTAACCAAAAAGGCTACGCCATCCCAGCGACCGCACTCGCCATGACCGACAAAATGGAGGCCGAAAAGTCGTGGTGGAGAAAATACTTCGTCATCGCGCCCGTCATGGTCGCGACGATGCTGCGCTACTTCATCCCCCTCGTCATCGCCACCCGCTCCAGCGTCGTCGTCCCGCGCATAGAGAACTACCTCCACGCCGTCCGCCTCTCGCCGCCGTCTCCCCTCCCCCCCCGTCCATCCACCTCAACGTCCTCCTCCGCCGGTGAGGCATCCGCCCAGAAAGATACCAAAATCGGCGTCGCGGGCTTCTGCTGGGGCGGAAAGTTCACCGTCCTGCTCTCCCAGCTCGCCGCGGGACCGTTTGGCGGTGAGAGGCTCATCGACTGCGGGTTCACGGCGCACCCGAGCTTCCTCACGTTGCCGGGCGACCTGGAGAAGGTGGTGCTGCCGCTGAGCGTGGCGAACGGGGACGACGATATGATGATGCCGCGGGCGCGGATGGTGGAGGCCAAGAGCGTGCTGGGGAAGAAGGGGGAGGACTTTGAGATTGTGGAGTACGTCGGTGCCACGCATGGGTTTGCTGTGAGGGGGAACCCGAATGATCAGCGGCAGGCGGAGTTCGGGATGAGGGCGGAGGATCAGGCTGTCGGGTGGTTTCGGCGGTGGTTTGGGCTTGGTGCTTGAGTGAATGGGTGAGGGACGGGACGGGATGGGTTGAAATGGGACCAGGAATGGTTGATCGAGATTGGTTTGACGCGGGTCGCCTTTCCATCACAGTTCTAATGTAGCTGCAAGTCTTCTGTCCGTTATGTACGCGGGGGCTCAAAGCGATTATAGTAGGTTCCGGTCATGATAGGACTGAGATCGAATCCAAGCTTGCTCATGTCGCGAGGTTCACAACCTCCTCTTGATACCATTCATATGTGAGTCCCAAGTACGTGGGAGGCATGGGAAGCTCAAGTAACTCCCAGCTAGTTGAAAAGACAACAAAAGATCTTTGAACAAAAAACCACTAATTCCACAATATCCAACGGCCACAAAGCACAACTCAAAAACACGCCCACGCAACCCAACATCGCTCTAAAGCAAAATCAAGATATCGTCAACAGCCAAAAAGGCAAAAGATGTGGTTCTCCCCTTCCAGAATCGAACTAGAGACCTTTCGATGACAAGAGATGAACAATTACAGTCGAACGTGATGAACCAACTACACCAAGGGGAGTGACCAAGGCTGAGCCTTGCTCGGTGTGGAAGTCAAGCGCGAAAAAATGCCTCAAAAAGTGTTTGCGTTGACCCACAGAATGATCCGCAATTCTAGGGTTGTGATTTCGGCTCTCTGCAGATAGACCACTTTCGGTCAGCGACCTAATTGGGCACGTACGGGCATGTCTGCGCAAAAGCAGCATAATTGCCATAAAAAGACTCTTGTAACTCTTCATTTGCGACAATACAGAGTGACAATTGCGGCGGTTTCTGTCAATGTCTGTTTACAAGCTCGACAACTCACTAAAATAGCAGACTCGCAGCACTAGGGACTCTTCGATTGGCCTGGCTTGTAGAAACAGCTCTACGAGCAATCAGCGAAGGCAAAAACAGAAAACGCATACGCCGAAATTCTACTAAAAGCTCTCTGATGGTGAGCCGATACTGTTAGTTTCTCTCGAATAAAGTATGTCCTTGAGTAAGGCTGCGAGCAGTCTGGTTCGAGGTAGACAAGTAGGCACAATATCGGAAAGAAGGTTTCGGTTGCAGCACGTGGAAACGTTCGAAGACCATACTCAAAGAGATGAATGATCACCCCAACAATCCAGCTCGACTGTCCAATAGCCAGAACTGAATAGTCACGCCAAGGGGAAACGGCAAAGCCTGATTCGGCGAGAGCGGCCGCTCCCCGGACCCGACGCGGTGGGTGGAGTTGCGGATGGGGCCGAGGCAAGGGGTCAAGCACGCCGATAAGCGATAAGCTTGTAGCTGTAATGAGTGACGAAACCAATTGCCCATTTTTCTTTAATTAAAATCGATATTTTGGCCATGCCCTTTGGCGTCCCGCGCGACCCGGTCCGAACCCCCCCCTTCACGAACCTCAAACTCGCAACCTTCAACCCTGAAGTTTCCCTACTAATCGCAACTTTTCTCACACGTCTCATGCAATGAACCACGGCACGACGCTGCGCGCCCTGCGCGCTCCGTCTTCCCTCTGCAACAGCAGCAGCAGCCCCGTCCACACACCCTTCCTCCTCACCTCGATCGCGCGACAAGCGACCCCCTACCGTCGGCTAGCGAGCTCCCTCACGCCCTCCGAACCCTCCTACTCCTCCACCGCGAACAGAGACAAGGTCAACGCCATCGCCTCCTCCCGCCCAGCGGCCCTCGAACTCCCCGAGAAGAAACCCGACGCCTCAAAATTTGGCCACCTCATCCAGACGGGCAAAGCCTACATCAAGTTCTACAAGACGGGTCTCAAAGCCGTCTTCTCCAACCGCCGCCACATCCAAGACGTCATCCGCGCAAAGAGCACCTCCGTCGAAGGCTTCCGCTCGCCTTCCGTCTTCACGCCGGGCGTCATCCCCAAGGGCTTCTCGCGCGCCGACTGGGTGCTCCTCTGGCGCGTGCGCCACGACGTTCTCCGCGTGCCCCTGTTCGGTCTCGTCCTTTTGGTGTGTGGGGAATTCACCCCGCTCATCGTCATCTTCGTCGACGGCGTCGTGCCCTACACGTGTCGCCTGCCGCGGCAGATCGACGCCAGCTTCTCGCAGGCGGAGGAGCGCCGGCACAAGTCGTTTGCCGACTTTGAGCGGGCTGCGCCGCTGGGCGTCGCGGGCACGCAGGGCACGGCGGCGAGGGCCCCGGCGAGGAAACATGTGCTGCGCAGTCTGCACATGCCGGGCATGATGTGGGATAAGATTGGGTTTATCCCGCCGGGTATGTGGGCGGCCAAGGGCAAGCTGCGGATGGCTTTCCTGGAAGGAGATGACAGGTTGCTGGCGCGCGACGGGGGCGCGGCCGCGTTGGAGGAGCAGGAGGTCAAAATTGCGGCTACCGAGCGCGGTATCGACTGCGCCGGTCGCGGGGATGAGGAGCTGAGGAAGTTGCTCGATGAGTGGCTGCGCCTGACGGAGGCCGAGGAGAGTGTGGAGAGGAGGAAGCGCATGACGGTTCTCTTGACGACAAGGTATGCAACTTTTGCCCTTAAACAATGCTCAAGCGTATAATTGCTAACCAACTCACTCCTGCAGGACGGAGAACTGGCCTAAGGACCGAGACTTTGCTCTCCCCGAGTGGCATCTTTGAGTCGAATCATACACAGCGGACTTGTATAGTACCTCGCCTGGCAGACAGCACCATTGTCGTCGATATTCCTTTGTCAGAGGCTGCATTGTGGCAAGCGCCGGATTGTATACTACTACTGTATTTTACTGCGGCATAAGTAGAAGGATGGGCACTCAAAAGCATATGACGGGGCTCGGGGGTCAACATAAGAGACGAGTTGGTACGGTTGCGGATAGACAAACCACTCTCAGTTCCAGACAGCAAGTAACAAATGTCAACTATTCCTCCTTAGACGACAATAATGCGGGCTATAGTCTCGCAATGTTCGCCGTATCAACTTGTTCTTGCAGGAACTTTGGACAAGGAAATATCCTATACGCTGCTAGCCGGTGATCTACATGCCCGGCTCGCTGGCCCAAGTCCAAGGATATATACGTACTAAGACTTGCCTCGCTAGTCCTCAGCGGCCAAGGGTGCACTTACCGCCGTCCCTTTTTTCCAGATAGTCGCGTCTCAATGCCTCGTCTCTCTGCATTGCGTCGAATTCGACCGCCCTGGTGTTGGCCCATGCATTCTAGCCTAGACCTCATCAAAGGATGGCTTTCTCGACCGCTTAGAACTACAGGCCAATGATTCCGTGGTGAATACTACACTGCCCCTAACCAGTACGACGAGACGCCCAAGATGCTCTCGAGAACTTGGATCAAGGATGAATACCGTTGTTGTGCGCTTTCGAGATCATGCGCGATTATGTCGGCGCTCGCCACAAACAGGCGCTGGACTTGAAGCCAGCGAGA